TTATAGTGCTATAAGATTTGCAAAGCATTATCACATATGTTATGTTATCTGATTTGCAACAGTCCTATAGGTCATGCAAATAATAAGAAGCTTATTTTACAGACAGGGGAACTAGAACTTGGAAAAGGAAAGCAGCTCTCATCCTGGATGAAGCCAGGACTTGGAACACAGGTCCACTGCTCCAGATGCAATGCTCTCCCCACTAAGACCCAATACGATATGTCAATCAGCAAAGTCTAGAGTCTTTACCATGTGCTGAGCTGTGTATCTGGGCACTGGGGAAGCCACAGCAATGTATGCTAATCTCTGGCCTGGAAGAGATTACAGTGTAGTAGCAGAAATTTGAAAGAGATTGGAAAAATTTAACAAAATAGGTCCCAGAGCAGTATGAGTGGTCCAGACTGTTAAGTTATATGAGCTCAGAGGAAGGTGTTATCATAGCCTGGATAGTTCCTGAACAGCTGGGCGAGGGGAGCTGGACAAGGATTTGGAAAAAGAAGGGAGTGTCTCACTCCACCTCAATCAGCAGGGTGCAAGCCAACACCCAACTGAGCACTGGGAGCTTTCTAAGACTACAATTCCCCAATTTCCTTAGCATCACTGTTAGCAGTGCTCAAAGGTGACGCCCTAACATCTATGTTCAGGCTATACCAAATGTCAGCTGTTGTGTGGATCTGCCACCCCGTGGGCAGAGACACGGTTAATAGCAGCAGAAATGCTTCTCTTTCAGGGAGAAGTACACGTAGTCATTAATGCCTCTTAATAAGTTTGTGGAGTCTTCATGTCCCCAGTTGTCTAATCTTTTTCCCCCAACTGTCTAATCTAAAAGCCAATACGAAAACTGTCCCAGATGACAGTTCTTTTCACAGGGGCCTGATGTTTATGCAGTCGAAACATCACTGTATTGGCATCAGGAGACTTGGGTTCGATTCTCAGTTATGGCAGCAGTGAGATCTTGGCCAAATCACTTCCCCCATTTAGGCCTCTGTTTCCTTTTCTGTAAAATAAGGGGATGGGACTAGGTGGTCTCTGAGGCCCTTCCAGCTCTAATGTTTTATGATCCCCTAAGAGAAGAACATTATGTGGCAGGAATAACACTAAGTTTGAACTCATTAGGTGACTCTGAAGGAGAGAATCCATTCCCCTCTATGGGCCTATTTCTATCTCTCTGAAAGAAGGAAGTTTGCAGATAATCTGTAAGGCCAGCTCTAAATCACACGAGGTTGAATGTACCTAAGTGTGATGACTCAGTAACTGGACAGTTCACAGGCACCCAGTCACTGTCTCTGAATCCTCCTGACCTGAACCCAGAAAGGGGTTGTTAGCCTTGTTCCATTCGGCCCAAAGCACAGATCTAGGAGCAACAGGAACATTGCAAAGAAGCAGATTTTGGTTCCACGTAAGGAAGAACTCCCTACTCACTAGTGCTACTGAAAAATGACAAGGCTGCCTCAGGAGGCCCTGGATTCCCTCTTACTGGGGTCTTTCAGTGAAGGCTGAATTACTTATTGAAGATGTTATACGGGGGATTCTTGTTCAGAAACGGGCTAGGCTAGCCAAGTCACTTCCAACTCAGAGATTCCGTGATCTGGGCGGGCGGTTGTGTGTTCTTTAACACCAAATCTAGTCTTGGGCAGACGAACAAGAAAGGTTGTGTATTCGAAGCTAGAATTGTACACACATGTACACACAGGTTTCACAAAACAGCTCATCCCCAAAATAGATTTGGAAATCCTCTTCTTTTAAACGGTACTAAGCTTTTTACCTCTAAATTTAAAAGACTGTAGACTCTTTTCCACACACCCCGAAAGTTCTTGAGGCAGAAGAGAACAGAGGGCATATTCAGGCTGTCCACCTGAATTTTCAGGATGTTTTAAAAAAAAAAACAAAACCCAGAACCAAGGTGGCCGCTTTTGAAGCTGCCCCTATCATGGCCAAGCAGCCATGTGGGGTGGTCTTGTCCATCTGAACTGACACACAGCTGGCATAATGTCGCTCAAGCCTTTGCAATCTCCCTTCAAAAGCCACCAAGGGCAGAGGACTATGGTTAAACTTGGACTCCATAAAGCTGAGAATTAAAAATGGAATATCACATAGAATGGTGAGGCCCTGTTCCGACACAATTTGAAGATAAGAACTGGCAGCTATCTGATGTAGATAGTTTAGACAGGTTCACCTGCCTGAAGGCAGGAAACCAGCCTCTCGGTGTCCTGGCCAACTCTAAGATTCTACCAAGCTAAGGAAGCAATAGTCTGTCCTCTAAACCCCATGGTCACCAGATCTGGGGGAGGGGAAGAAATGTGGGAACTTTATAGATATCACAGAAAATGAGAAATCAGGGATTAAATAGTACTACAGAAGGAGGCTGAAGTCAGACTTGGAGTGAGAAGTCTTGGATTCAAGTCCTGGTTCTGTCCCTTATCACTGTGACAGGAGATGAGTCAAGAGCTGGAACAGATCTCAGACCACCTGTGCCCTGATTTTATAAGGGAGGAAACTGAGGCCAAGAGTTACCTTGCCCAAGGTTCAAGGTCACACAGCTAGTAATAGAGAAAAGATTTGAACTCAGATCCAATATTTCATTTCTGAGACTCAGTTTTCCAATACATAAAAATGGAAAAGGGATATTTGCTCTACCTACCTCACAGGACTGTTGTGAAGAGTTTTGTTAACTACCAAGTGCTCTAAAGAAATGAGAGCTGTTACTATCGTCACACATGGAAGCTGTCCTGCTGTTGGCTGGGCAGAAGATAGCTATGGGCCATGGTATGTGAAACATGCTAGGGAGCAAGAGACCTCACTTCTCTCCCCACTCCCCTCATAGCCTACAGAGAAGCCTGAGGGAGGTCTCCAGACTTGGCTTCTGCCTGCTAGAGACGTAACTTCCCCATTCTATTTCTCAGCTGTTGTGTTTACTTCCTTTCCCCTCAGGTACCAATCTCCTCTCCAAAAGAGAAAATATTGACATAGGCAGCTGGGACTCCAAAGGGTTTATACACAAGCCTAATCTTCATACCTGGGCCCTAAACACAAGAGATAAGGGTGGGAGAGAATGTCATCTCAGCAGACTAAAGGACTACACTCAACCTGCCTTAGTCAAAGAATAACTTTGCTAATTATATGCTTTAGCCCTGCCCAAAGGCCTTTGGGAACCAAAGTAGGGAGGTACTCTGCAACACAGGCCAAAGTCTGTGAAACTGAGACCCATGGGCCAGGGCTCTGGATTATTAGCTCACCTGACCAATCAAACCAGAGGCTTACTAAGCGCAGGACTATCAGTTTATTCAGGGGCTGAAAACAGGCTCCATAAATGGTTGTAACCATAAAATTTAATACAGGAAATACACACACACACACACACACACACACACACACACAGAGAACAGCTGCTAATTCAGCAGGAGCCAGAAGAGTTCGGGCTCTGCTGTACCATGGAGAGAGGCAAGGTAAAGACAGAGCAAACAGAACCAGGGACAGAAAGAGCAATAATGAGGGGTGAGGGAAGAGAAAGTGTGAGGTGTATATGTCTTGCACACACAGTCACCAAACTCAGTTGGAACTGGCTGCAATCTTGTTACCTGAGAGGCTACTTTCCCAAGTACTTTACACAGTCAGTGTGAGCAGTAGAGCAAAGGAACCTTTAACAAAAGGCTCAAAAGACTTCACCCTTCCAGATCAGTTAGAAGTTGTGCCCTGATTCATCCAAAACTGCTCCTCAGACTCACGTTCGTCACTGACAAAAACAAGCCTCAGACTCTGGATCAGTATTTAGCAGCAGGGGGGGGGGGGGGTGTCCCTGCAAATGCCCTGGGGATGCTGGGGGAAACCAGAAGCTTTGGAAGATGTGGACCCAGAAAATGAACCCAAGAGAACAGCACCAGTACTAATTATCCACAGAGATTGAGCCCAAAACACCACTATGTCCATGGCTGGCTCCCATTCTGGGGTTAGGGTATCATGTCTACAGCCAAAGGTTCTTGTAGGCCCAAAAATGCCTCAGCACAGTCATACCAAGAGCAAGGCAGTTCCATAATGCCTTGATGTACCACCCTCAATGAGTCCAGTACCCACTACTGCCTAAATGAGAAAATAAATCTACTCAGTGTGTTCTCAGATATAGATGGAATGGGTGGGTGCTTCTGGAGAAAGGAGCTAGTAAAGTTCCCTGTCCAAAAAACATCTTCCCCACCTGACTGCCACAGGTGCCCAATATATCACCCTTATGGATTACTTCTTCTGTTAAGGATTTTTTTTCCCCTATTAAAATGAAAATAACAACCAATGAAAATAACAACAACCTTGCTGTAAGGATCAAATGAAGATAATATCTGTAAAGTGCTTACAGTGCCTGGTAGGTGCTTAATAAATGCTTATTCCATTCCACTGCAAATACCCTGATAACAATTAACCCACCATCATCCATTAATGACTTACTGCATTTTAGTTTACACTTGCTAGCTTTTCTGACTGGACAGCAAGCTAGGATCTAAACGTATGGGACACAGGATAGGGAAAGGATTTTTGGGTTTTTCTTTGTGGGGGGGAGGTTGGTCTTTTTTGGGGAGGGGTAGAGAGAAAGGACCAAGCAGGAAAGAAGATCTAGAACTTGGGGTTGGAGGCAGAAATAGAGCATGAGGACAAGAGACGTCTGAGAAAGGGACCAAAGGACAGAGAACGGAGTTGCTGAACAAAGAAACAGAGTCACCCAAATCAAACATTTCATCCAGGCACTAAGGTGAATCCAGATCCAGTACTATGGGAGTTGGCATTAGAGGGTCTTGGTTATTTTTTCTCTTTCACAAAAAAAGGGCAGTGGAACCACACACACATATACAACACACACAATTTTGGCTCCGAGATCTACTCCAAGGGCCAAAGAACAAGGGAACCATCCATCCAAGGTTCCTACAATGAAGACCCCAGAAAGCAGGGCTTCCCCTGCCCCAACTTTGGGCTGTTACCAGTTAGAATTAGGCAAGTATGCCCTGAGGGGAACTCACTCAAATGCAAAGAAGAGTGTGCAGGTCCCCAGGATGAGGAAGAGAGTCAAATAGAAGATCCCCTTCTGCCGGGCCATCATGACACGTCCATCGCAGCAGAAGGTGTTCCTGCCTGGGAGCTTCTCCCACTTGCGAGTCACCTTCTTCCTCACCACCATCACAGACATGGCTGCAATACACCTCCTAAACTTGCCTTCAGTCACAGGAGAAATGTGATTTGGGTCAAGTCCAGGCTCAGAACCACAGCTGTGGTGGCACTGGTGGTTGCTGCTTCTGTCAAGCCAGACATCATCAAAAATCTGACTTTCAACCCTAAGAAAAAGTGAAAAATGAAAACATAAAAATGAGACCATACCAATGCCCTTTCCCCCAGAGGCAGTACTTACAAGTGGGGGGGGGGAGAGGCAGACTGATTTGTCCCTAACCTGCCAAAAGATAGGATGGTGTCAGTTCATTTGCAAACAGTGCCTTATGAGCATGGAATGACTTGAAAAGAGCCCTGGCTTTGGACTCAAAGGGCCTGAGCCCAAATTTAACATCAACTTCTCTGAGTATCGGTTTCCTCCTGCTCAAAATGAACATTAGGATGTTACTTCTGCTACCTACCCCACAGGGTTATTGCTAAGCTCAATGGAGAAGTCTCGTGAAAGCACTCTGTAAAATCTTTCTTAAAATGAGTTGTTATTCTTCTGCCTTCTACCTCTGTCCCCAATTACTGATGATCAAAACAACACATCTTCATTTTACAGATGACAAAACTGAGGCTTACAGGTTAAGTGACTTGGCCCAATCACACAAGAAATTTCGTTGTAAAGTGAGGACTAGGCATTGACTGGGTTTCCTGATTGCCAGGTGCTTGCTCTTTTCACCCACCTTGCTGTTTTAGAATCATCTATACAAAGCCTGGGGGGAAAATACTGGAGAGTTTGTCCTTCAAGGGACCAAGATCCTGTTCTTTCACCTTCTTTCTATTTACTACCCAAACATGACTCACTTGAGGGGATAAGTCACCCTCTGGCATGGATGGGAATTTCTGGACACAGCCACATGATGCATGCACAATGTATTTGCACAAACCAGATTTGCCCTAACCAAACACTGTCTAAGCTCCCTCTGGGTCCCGGAAACTAAGAGAGTCCTGCTGGTTCGTTTATGGGATCTGAATGAAACCACATTCCTGAGGAAGACAGACCTCTAGGTATAGGGCACTGACTCACTAAGGTGGGAGAGAGAGGGTGGGGGAGGGCTTGGAGGTAGGAAGGAGCAAAGATGGCAGCAGCAGCAGCAGCAGTTGCTACGAAATGGGCAAGGTGCTATGTGGGACAGTCGGGAGTGGCCCATCTCGATTCCCTGGGGCCTAAGCGCGCTCCCGAGCCGAACCTCCCCCCTCCAACAACCCCTCAGCCCACCCCCGGCAGCCCAGCCCGCTCCTCGGAGGTACAGAGGATTGCAGCCTCCTCCACCACCCCCGCCACATGCTGGGAAGAGGAGAGGGAGGGAGCCAGGGAAGGAGCCGGGGAAGGAGCCGGGGAAGGAGCCGGGGAAGGAGCCGGGGAAGGAGCCAGGGAGGGCGGGCAGCAGGCGGGAGGGCTGCCGAGGAGAAACAACCCACAGGAGGCCGCCGCCGCCGCCGCCGCCGCCGCCGCCGCCGCCGCCGCCGCCGCGGGGCTGGCCCCGCTCCAGCAGGCGCTCACAGCTCCAGGCCATGGTCGAAGGGGCGATGCCCGAGGGGCCAGGGGAGCAGGGAGGGGGAGGTGGGCTGCGCTGTCCCGGCGGGGGACAGGGGCACCACGGGGAAGCAAGCGGCTGCCCAGTGGCGTCGAGCAGAACAAAGCTCCGAAGCCGTAGAAGAAATGGACAGCGAGCGGCAGCCGCCCGCTCCGAGGCCCAGCCGCCTCGGGCGCGAGAGCCCTCCGCCCGCACCCCGCACCCCCAACGGCCGGAGCGCCCCCTCGAGTGAGAGGCGAGGCGAGGAGGGGACGCCCCCCGCACTGCGCGCGCGCACATCACTGAGCCCGCGCAGCCCTCCCCCGGCCCCCGGGCCCCCCACCCGCCCCCCCGCCAGCCGGCTGGCGCGCGGACACACACACACACACACGCACACACACGCGCGCACACACATACACACACACATACATACATCCACACACGCACACACAGCCGTGCGCCCCGGGACGCCCCGCCACGTGCCGCCACGGCCACGGCCACTGCCAAAACCACAACCACAGCCCCGCGTCAGGTCAGGTCCCGGACTCCGCGGAGCAACTGCCGAGCATCCGGGACAGGCTGTCCCCAAGCCGGCCGGCCGAGCGGCCGGCCAGCCCGCTGGGGGTGGGGAAGGGGAGCGGGAAGCATCGGCACAGCGGGAGGCAATCACGACCAACGCGACCCCCTGCTTACCTGGCGACCGGGACTGCGGTGGGAAAGGTGGCGTTCTCCGAGAGGGAGCGAACGATCTCGGCGGTAGGCAGGGGTATAGGTGGTGGCTCCTTGGCCCCGCCCCGAGCCCCGGGCTGCCGCCGCCTCCGCCTCCGCCTCCTCCTCCTCCGGGAGGGGGCCGGGGGGGAGGGGGGGGATGGACCTTTGCCGTCGGGAGCCACGGCCAGCTGCGGCCGCAGTCCACCGCTGGAGGAATGGAAAGCTCCGCACGTCAGCCGGCAGCTCCAAAGGCTGCCCGCCTGCCATTGGCCGGCCCCCTCCGGGCGCCTACGCCCCCGCCCTCCTGCCCCGGATTCCTATTAGTTAATAGGCATGCCACTCGACGGCGCCTCCTCCTCCCTCCTCGCTCCCCCCGCCCCCTTCCCCCTCCCAGTGCCAGTTTGCCCTTCGGGTCCTAGTGCCAATGGGCGTGAAGTGCCACTTTGTCACCGAACCCACGCGGTGGGGGGCAGTTGGCGACGGGCAGGGTGGGACTGGGGCCACCAACGGTGCGGAAGCACCTTAGTGAGCAATGAATGGAACGCTGAACAGCCGCTCCCCCCACCAATCAGGCCTCTACCCCTCCCCACTCCCTACTCCTAGGCCTCCTCCTTGTTTTGAAAATGATACCCAGGAATTTCACTTTCCAAAACACAAGGAAATCATCTCAATTCCTTTCTCGAGCTAAGCTCTCTCAACCTTGAGAAGTACCATAGTATTGCAGGAAATAACACTGGATTTTAAATTAGAGGTCCCAGCTTGAATGTCCATCCCTCTTATCTACTAGCTATATGACATTAGACAAGTCACTCCCCATCATTCAATTTCTATATCTGAAAATGGAGGGAGTTGCAAAGCGTCATCGTGCAGTGGAAAGAGCAACAAACTTAGAATCAGAGGCCACTAATCAATCCCAATTCTTCCAATTACTACTAGTGTGACCTTGACCAAGTCACTTGCCTGGTTTCCTCATCTTTAACATAAATGGATTAGACTGGATGACCTCGAAAATTCCTCCCAGTTCTACTTCTATGATCCTGTGACTAATTGGACTAGATGACCTTTTGGGTCCCTTTCAGGGCTAAATTCTGTGACTTCCCACATCTTGTTCAAAAGATCCTACACTCTGCTTCCCATTCTCCAACCTGCCCTCCCCCTCCCCATATATATCTAAAGCTTTCTGAAAGGAACAAGATAAGACTCTGGAGGAAAGAGTTCACAGGACAGTATGTGCATGATCACCATTGCCAAAACTGAGACTCCCAGCTGAGTTTTTCTGAGGGTGTCAGCTTAAGGGCAGGTAATCAAAATCGCCACGCCTTCTGCCACCACAGAGTGTGGAACATCAAGGTAGATCCACCAAAGGAGAAGGAATGGGACTGTCTGAAAGCAGGCTCTTCAGCCCCCCTCCCCATACTATGAAGAATATCTGTGCTACCAATGCGTGGTGGGGAAGGGGGTAGTGAAAAGGATTCCACAGATTTGAAGGGGCTTAGAATGAGAGTACTGTGTACCATATAATACAGTCTGGCAGATGTCTAACATACTGATCATGGACAGTTACTTCTGTTTGGTTTCCTCCCCCTATTAGACTGTAATCCCTATGAAGGGGAGGGGCACAGATCTGGGCACTTCATAAATGATTGTGTTGAGGAAATCTACAATGCTGCTCTGGGGACTATATACAAGTTTAAGAATTATTTCACTGAGAGAGCTTAAAGGGAACTTAGAAACCATCTAGTCCAATCCCCCAGTTTTACTTTAGAGGAAACTGAGGCTGAAAGAGAGAAGTGTCTTGTCTAAGATCAATCAAACCAGTAGCAAGTGGCAGGGCCATTACTTGAATCCAGGTCTCTCTGGTTTCTTCTGACTCCAAGTCCAGGGCTCTTACTGCTGAACCACACTGGCTATTTCTTCTTTATAGTGTTTTCTATACATCCCCCAGCTGGGATGTCAAAGAGCCATATAAGGATAATTATATCTGGTTTCTTCATGAAAACTTTCATTCAAGAATTTCCAAAAGACATAAACCCAGGGGGTGGAGCCAAGATGGCGGTGGGAAAGCAGTGACTTGCTAGAGCTCTCCCCCAAACCCCTCCAAATACCTACAAAAAATGGCTCTAAAGAATTCCCAAAAGACAAAGAACTTACTAGGTAGTTCTATCTTCTGGGAGAGGATGGTCATACCTGTATTACTGAAGAAGCTCAGCATTTATGCAGCAGAGTTTCCTGGGCTGTTCCCCAAGCCTGGAAAGCTCTCAACCCTCATCCCTGCTTCCTTAGCTCCCTGGATTCCTTCGGGTCTCAGCCAGAGTCGCGCCTTCTGACAGAAGCTTTTCCCAGCCCCCCGAAACTCAGTTCCTTCCCTCCGAGATCACTCCAAATTTCTCCTGGCCATTTTCTCTTTGTGTAGCCTTGTCTCCCCCATTAGACTGGGAGCTCCTTGAGACGAGAGACTGTTTTTTTGCCTTTCTTTGTTATCTCTAGCACTTAGCTCAGTGCCTGGCACATAGTAGGTGTTGAATAAATGCTAGATGACTAATATATGATGCCTCCTGGAACCCCTACAGTTTATAATAATTTGTTTATTCCTTACAACACTCTGTGATCAGTATTATTTCAGGGTACAATTCTCACTTTCTAGTGGAGGCTATTACTAACTCAACCTCATAAGACTGGAGGGGAGAACAAATTCCTTCAGGCCCCACCCTAATATTCTCCAAGGCAATTCTATCCAGAAGCCTCAGGTAAAGGTTCAGCTTCCCTTACTACATGGCTAGGCACAAGCCCTTCCCAACATTTGGAATGCCCCCCCCCCCACCATGAATTCCCTCCAAGTTTCTAGAGTCCGGCTTAAAAGCAACATCCTTTATGAAGCCTACCCTAATCTCCCTGTCCTAAGGACCTTCCCCCTCAGAACTCCCACAACACTTTGTGACTTTCTTTCCATTTAACAATTATTATTGTGGATTACAGTTATTTGCGTTTCAAGTATTGCTGAAATTGAATAGGAGAAGATAAGGCTGCATCTCCTTTGGGAAACTAAGCAATACTCTCAAAAATCCCAAGCTCCTCTCTAATTTAAGAGTGCTCCAGTGATGCTAGATGACTTCCATTTATGAAATACCCTAATCCCAGAAGAATCAAAATCCCAGGTGACCCCAAAAGACAATGGAAAGATGCATGGTGAGTATCATAGCATGGTCCAAAGGATGGTCTACACTTGAGAAGTTGCATAAAAGAAATTATCTACAGGGAATACAAGGTAAGCAATTAAACCCAGTAAGCTTGTGCTCCATAAAACCAAGAACACACACTGCTTTGTGAAAGGACTGAGCAAGATTGCTAGGTAAACTGGATGATGCTATGGATAGAGCAATAGGCCTAGAGTCAGAACAAACCTCAGTTCAAAGCTGGCTTCTAGCACTTACTAGGTGCATGATTTAGGACAAGTCACTTATGTTTATCCCAGTTCTGTAACTGTATAATGGGAATCAGAAGAGTACTTACCTCCCAAGGTCATTGTGAGAATCCAATGAGATTATATTTGTGAAGTACTTAACACAGTGCCTGGCACATGGGCAGTATATAAATACTAGTTATCATAATCATTATTATTGTTATTATTATTATTATTATCATACTGAAAATGTTTTTTCACAAACTATCTCTAACAGTGTGATATCCAAAATACATAGGTAAACTTACACAAATATATAAGACCAAAAATCATTCCCCAATAGATAAGAGATCAAAAAATATGGAAAATTTTTCAAATGAAGCAAGACAAGGTATCAACAACTACATTAAAAATGTTTCAAATCACGAATAATAAGAGATATACAAAATAAAACAACTTTGAGGTCTCACCTCATGCGAATCAAATTGGCAAAATGACTAAAGTAGTCAATGTTGGAGGGACTATAGGAAAACAGGAGGACTAAAACACTATTGATGGAGCAATGTAATTGGTCTTACTCTTGGGGAAAATCATTTGGACTTGAGAAAAGTTGATACTCTTTGATCTTTTGGTCCCACACTGGACATCAATCTCCAAGAAAGTGAAAGAAGTCCTTTTTGTATATAGGTCCCTACCCAAAATATTCATAGTAGAACTTGTTTGTGGTAGCAAAAACTCTGAAAACAAAACAGCTACCCATTAACTGGGGAAGAGTTGAACAAATTGTAGTTTGTGAATGTAATGGTGTGGTGGGGGGAAAAAGCATTCAACTGGGAGTCAGAGGATCTGGGTTTGAATTCTAGCTTTGCTATTTACTGCCTGGGTGATCTTGGGCACTTCACAACTTCTCTGGACCTCAGTTTCCACCTCTGTAAAATGAAGGGGTTATATCAAATGGTCCCTATAATCCCAGGACATGGATCTATATTTATATGTGGCTAAGCTGCCTGGGCCATCACCAGTCCTCTTGACTTATGTCTTGCCACTCAACTCTGATGACTCTGGAGGAGAGAGTGAGGCTGATGATTATACATAGCCCTGCCTCACTTAAATCTAATTCAGTGAATGAAGGATGAACAACAATCTGTGAGTAGTAGCTGCCCCCTGGGGACCCAACTGGCTTCTGCTCTTTCTTCCTTTTCCTCATCCTCCTCCTGTCCCTTTGTCTACAAGGAGAGCCATACCCTTACATGCAGGTGCTCTCTCCAAGGAATATAATTTTTGATGGATTATACTTTGCAAGGTATCAGGAATTGGGGGCTAGATTTGTTTTCTTCCCTATTTATTTATCCTATCATTATTTTTTTCAAAAGCTGGGATAATTAACTCTCTTGTCTTACATAATTTCATTTATGATTTCTTGAAACATAGCTCTGAAAAAACAGGCTTTGAAAAGGCTCATTGTGTTTCAAATGGAGCTGCTTGACCAAGCCTTTAAACCCAAATCACTCTGGCTTTCACTGATTGTCCAATAATAGGTCCCAGCCCAAACCTCTGCTGCCCATTGTTTGGGTTTTGATGGCTCAGAGTGAGTGCAAAGTAGCAATTGTTTTCTGTTCTGGCCAGAAACTCTGAGGGTCTTTCCCCTCCCAGATCCACTCAAGGCAAACTAAGCCATCCTTTGTCTCAATTCTTACCTAGCCTTTAGTCGTTGAATGAGTGAATTGAACTCAGACAAAGTGAGACCTGGGAAAGACCTTAACTTAAAAAGGCCAAGGTCTCCCCCTGCATCCTGGGCCATTGCCAGTCATCCTGACCTATGTCTTGCCTTTGGACTTTGATGATTCTGGAGGAGAGGGTGAGGCTGATGACTTTGCACAGCCCTGCCTCACTTAAATCCAATTCACTTGCAAGTCAAGATATCACCCTCCTGATGTCCTTGGACCACCACCACCAGCAACAACAACAACAGAGTTGATTAAGCTGCACTCCCCAACCTATCCCAGGAAATTGACTACA